AAGCGCATACATAACATATAGGGTGTCCCAAAAGGTTACGTACATAGGAAGGGGGATGACAGGGGTGGTCACAAGGGTCACCAGAAAAATGAAATAAAAATTCCCCTCTGGGTATTAAAAAGAATAAAGGGCATTTTTTAAAAACTTAAAAGTTTTACACCTTCTGGGGCAATTTTAATTTTCTTTAAAATCTTTGCTAGTTGTATTGTTTTTTTTATTTCATATTAATAAAGGGTTATTGACGATAACATAATAGCTTTTTTTTTTTAATGTAGCAATATTTGTAGGTCATTGGTTACAAAATTGCCCCAGAAGGTGTAAAATTTTTAAGTTTTTAAAAAATACCCTTTATTTTTTTTAATACCCAGAGTATTTTTATTTAATTTTTCTGAGGAATTTTTATTTAGAGATTTAGAGGAATTTTTATTTTATTTTTCTGGTGACCCTTGTGACCGCCCCTATCATCCCCCTTCCTATGTACGTAACCTTTTGGGACACCCTGTATATCATATATTAATTGTAATGAAAATATTATTTTTAATTCGCATTATTATTAATCTATTAACAAGTAAATCGACATACGAACAACCTTTACACATGTCCAAGTCGATGCACTTGACCGCAATTTGACGACTTTCTGCTTAAGTATGTTTATATGTACGGTATGTTGTATATAAATCAAGTATATACCATTGAAGAGAATATTGGAAGCTAGCTGTCGCCCGCGACAACGTCCGCGTGGATATATAAAAAAATGAATTAGTGTAGCCTATGTGTTCTTTCAGACTATGTTCTATATGTATGCCAAATTTAATCGAAATCCGTTCAGCTGTTCTAGAGATATCTTCAAACACCCGTCCATCAACATCACATCCATCTAAACATCCGCATTTATAATATTAGGAAATTAAATAAAAAGCAGCTCTTCAGGGAATAAATTTAAAACAAAAATGAATAAATAGTATCCTATGTCCGTCTCCTGGCTCTAAGCTACCTCCTCACCAATTTTCAGGCATATGGGTAAAGCCGTTCTTGAGTTATAAATAGTGTAACTAACACGACTTTCTTTTATATGTTTTATAGGTTTAAGTAAAATAATTAATCTAAATAATTTAAATGCTATCCGATAACAATATTTCACGCGAAATCGTGGGCTAAATAGCGCAATATAATATCATCATCATCATCATCAGCTCATGCGTCCCCGCCGAGGGGCTCGGAGCCTATCGTAAGTTAAGGGTGATTAGGCCATAGTCAACCATGCTGGCCAAGTGCGGGTTGACTTCACTCATATCTTTGAATTTCTTCTCAGATATGTGCACGATGTTTTCCTTCACCGTAAGAACGTCGGATAAATGTACATATATAAATCGGAAGTCGAAAAACACATTGGTATATGGCTGGATTCGAACCCAGGACCTGCAGATTGCAAGTCAAGTGCTTAACCCCTGAGCGACGCTCTCATTATAAAATACAGAATTATAATTCCTATTTAAATGACTAATTGGCAATAATAAAAACATTATAATATTTACTAATGCCTACTTACATTAAATATTATCTCATATATCATTTCTCAGGTGGTTTTGACATTTAAATCGGACATGATCAGCAAGGGTCAACAGAGACGTGCGCTCCGCACGAAGGTCGACGTAGAAATGCCGCGGGCGTTATCAAAATTAAATGGAACTCATAATTTATTATCTGCGAATGATTGGCACAGAGTATAAATGCATATTAAGATAAATAAGTTTTAATGGATATTTTTTTGCAATTAATATAATAAATAGAAAATTACGGCGAAAATCTCAGGTGGACATTAAACAATTATTTTATAACAGGCTTTAAAAGAATCGTTATTAAGAAAGCGTTCAACTGATTTCGCTAAAATGGCAATGGTATACACATTTGCAAGAATTTCAATGGTTGTAGTTACTTTGCCTATCCTTAATGGGCAGAGTAGAAGACAGAGAGAGGACAAAATAAAACCACGAGCCACCGAAATCTCGTACAAGATGTTCTTTACTAATACTAGCTATCGCCCGCAACTTCGTTTGCGCGGGATTAAATATAGATAGTAATCGATTCTCAGATCTACTGAATATTTATATACATATAAAATTATATAAATATTGGTCAAAAAGTTTCGGACGAATATGGTAATTAACATTATAAAACGAGAATTTCATATATAAGATAAATATTTGCTTCCATTGTATCGTCAACAAATCTACTGAACCGATTTAAAAAATTCTATCACTGTTGCGAAGCTACACTATCTCCCGGTGACATAGGCTATAGATTAGCCTAGACTAGTCTAGATTTTTTTTTAATTTCCGCAGACGAAGTAGGCAACTGCTATTTAATAAAAGTTTGAACACCACTAGTATAATCGTTTGCACCTTGACCTATGTAAGGATGTACAATTAGCTAACGTTAACGTTCATGCACTATATTTATATGTAAACTAGCTGTAGCCGCGCGGTATTAAAAACAACTTAATTAGTAGCCTATGTGTTCTTCCAGGCTATATTCTACATCTGTGGCAAATTTCAGCGAGATTCATACAACAGTTCTGGAGATATCTTCAAACAAACAATCGCATTTATAATATTAGTAAGATTTTGTAATAATCAAAAATTAAAATTAATTAAGTTACATTTTATGATCTTATCCATGGTATCGATTACAGTTATCGTAGATTTGATTCTGATATTTTACTAAAATTTAAAATTTATAGCTATATTTTCCTAGATTTTTAGACTAAACTATAGCTATTAGAAAATTGGAAAAGAATTTACGTTTATAATAGTATGCGTTTACTTTCTCTTTCTAACTAACGTTCCACTGATAAGACACATTTTATATCTGTTTTTTGAACACAAAGAGACGAATGATGTGTTTCGGCGGTGAAAACTAACGGATTTATGCATCATCAACATACTCATAAAAAAAGGTTCCCGCGTCGTTATTACGACAATTACGTCATCCGTGAATAGTTTTGACGGTCAACAACCGTTTGGTCGCGGTCGACGTGCTCGTTTTCGATTACACTCAGACGCATTGTACTTTCACTTTTTACTACGGCAAAATGTTTCTGGTTTTCCACCACTGTAATCTTCCACTCGGCTAAAGCGTTTAAAATAATTTTTCAGCGCCATCTGTTGGATGTTTTTAATTCGGTTTGATAACGCCATCTGTTATCGAGTAGTTAATTCCAAGAAACTTTTGCCCATTCAATAACGCCATCTGTTGTCATATAGCTAATACCGAAAATTTTCTACCTAATATCGATTAATTATTAATTTTAATAAAAAAATAAATATTGGATGAGTGAATAAAATCAGTTACTGATTAAAAAGTCAATTTGTAATTTTCGAAAATTCAAAATTTAAACTTTTTTTTGTTTACTCTACATAAAATTATAGTACGGAAAAAAAATACAAAACGATAAAATACGTATGAAAATATTGAAACAATTCTGCTAATGATTATACACAATTCAATGTGTAACAACATTACGCGCAAGAGTTCAGAATGTATGACTTGTGCAAACATTATAGTTGCATATTTCGCGCGCTCGGTGGGGCATCGTAGTGGTGGGTTTGGAGACGCGTTGCATTCAGCGTAATAGGTCTCCTGTAATTGCCCTGTTGTCCGTCTCTAAACTACAGGGATCCTACCACTGCGATGTTCTTTTTGCCCTACTAAGGGCAAAGGTCAAAGGTGACAAGTTCGTGAAGTATTTCGAATTTGAATTGTTACGTAGAAACAAGAACTCTTCTCCGAATTTTGTTCCCTCATATGATTATTCCATTGTTAATATACTTAAGAACATTTTTCTGCCATATAACTTAATGATAATAAATAAATTCCAACTTGATACCTTCACGCTTTCCTGAGAAAAAGCGTCATAGACAGACAGAGGGGCAAGAAAGGATTTCGTTTTTTCTTTTCGAGATACGGAACGCTAAAAATAGCGTAAACACGACAAACAGAGTCTACATAACAAAAGAAATGACAAAGGCATTGGAAAAGAAAGTGTTGTATACTTTAGGTAGGTAACACCTCAGACGTAAAATGAATTAAATTATAGTGTTCATTGTTTTAAATGAATTCAATAAAGAATATATAATGGCTGTAACTATTAAATGTAATTTTGTTTTTCCACATTTATTTGTGTTGACCTTCATTGAAAAATGCCAGTTGTATATCTATTTATATCGATTTACGTAATCATTATGAATGTTTCATTAGTTTTTTTTTATTAAGTTAAATAAAAGAATATTAAAAACAATTTTTAAATCTCTCGAATTTTGTGCATGTTCTAAATTTAAATTTCTCACTTTAATGTCAAGTCAGGATGGCCGAGCGGTCTAAGGCGCTGCGTTCAGGTCGCAGTCCACTTCTGTGGGCGTGGGTTCGAATCCCACTTCTGACAAAATACATTTTGTTTTTTTTTACATATTTGCTGATAAAAATGTTAAATTGCACCAATTTATAACAATTTTAATCGTAGTTCTCTTTTTCTATTTTAACAATATTTAGTTACTTTGCTACGAATAACATTTTAAATTAAAGCTTGGCGAATATTAGAAAAAAAATCTTACAAGTCTTGGTCAATGTTTATTTTTGATAAATTTAAGTTACATCATTATTTTTACAGTCTTTCTTATTAACGTGTTTTGTAATTTAATAAAGGAATTTATTCACCATTATATTATTCTGTAAATGTAATTAAAATAAAAAGTTTTAAAGTATGACCAGAGGTATCAATACCACTACTTAGTAGAAATGGAATAAAATCAATAAAGCTATTAAATTTTTCCACCCTTTCTCGATAAAAAAGAATCTTTAATGACATAACAAACACATGGAATCACTTAGTTTTTTTGTTAAATAGAAATTTTATTTGGACGTTCAAAGAAAAAATATTTTAGTTATTTAGTAAGTTATTGAATTAAAATAGGACAACACTGACCTTGATTTTATCATTTTCGCGAAAGATTTGACATTTATTTGACATAGAAAACGGCGCCGGTGTACTTTTAAAAGTTCTTTTTCTTTAGTTTTAAAGTTAAAATGACTACTATAAAAGTTAAAAACGAACAAGAAATCATTAAAAAACTTTCATCTTATGTGGAAAAAATATCAAATGACGCTATCGTAAACAGAGGACGGTTTTATATTGGGTTATCAGGTGATTATAATTTTTTGTTACCTTCAATACATTTTAAAGTATAATTTCTTTAAAAAAATGTCGATAAAACTTAAAAAAAACCTCTTTTAGCATATGTATGAATCGGCTTTACTATATATTATAATTAATAAGTAACTTATAAAACTATTTTTGTAAGTTTTACTTGTAGATAGCATGTGTCTTTATAACATCGTAATGAATTGAATTTACATTTTTTCAGGTGGATCAGTGGTTAAATACCTTTGTGAAGGTCTTCCACAGGTGAAAACAGACTGGTCGAAATGGACATTAGCATTTTGTGATGAAAGAATAGTACCGGAAGATAGTGATGACTCCACATTTGGTTGTTATGAAAAAATGTTGATACCTAAAACTAAATTGACTAGAAATCAGTTTATAATCTTAAAGCAAGGAGTTACAGGTGAGTAAAGTTATTCATTTACAATTAGTTTGTTTAATATTAATCAATTTGATAGCCATGGATGTACATAACACTAGAGGAAGTGCAGATACATTACCGGCACATAGGTGGACACTCACAGGAGACGAAGGGCTCTTCTTTCTAGCATAAAACAACCAGTGCTATCAATTACTCTATGCCATATGTCAACAGCTTCATAGAACTCATACCAAACTATTAATTTTGTGAATTTGTTTCATTACTTATAAAATGTAATAACTTAAGTTTTTATGCCTAAACTTAAGTTAACATATCCAATAATGTTGTGATTTTCATGTAAACTCGTAGAAATCAGTACAAGCACTGAAAATATTGATAATTTTACTTTCAGCGGAGGAAGCAGCAAAAGACTACACAGAACAATTGAAAGAAGCATTTAAAAGTGACAATTTTAAATTTGATTTATTACTACTGGGTATGGGTCCTGATGGGCATACCTGCTCCTTGTTCCCCGGTCATCCACTCCTGGATGAAGTGGATCTGAAGGTTGCAGCTATCACCGATTCTCCCAAGCCACCTCCGGCTAGAATAACATTAACCTACCCAGTTATTAATAATGCTAGGAACTGTATATTTGCTTGCAGTGGTGCTGGAAAAGCGGAGATGCTAAAAGTAAGTATAAATATTGTTTCCACTAATTTTTAAGGTAGTTTCCACTAGTGAAACATGTCATTACTCTCATTGTTAGTCAATCAATTCCTCCTGAAATATAATCCCTAGGGTTAAAGATGCCAAAGTGCTCCACCTGTGAGAATTGTAATAACTATACAATTTTATTTGAAATAAGATGAGTTATTTAACAGTGGTAGAGCCTGCTTTAACATCTTCGCACGAATTGGCCTGGCTCGCCCGGTGAAATACCATGAACACACAGAAGTCAGGCATGAATTGGAAGCAATTCCGCGTACAGTCTGATGAGTGTGCGTCCCGGAGGCCTAATTTAGTCCACTTTCCCTTCCTACTCTTTTTCTTATAAGGAAAGGATGGGAAGTGGAATTGGACTTTCCGGATGAGGGGATGCATGGAAATGTTTTCTTTCTGTGCATCCTCTCCTCCGTCGATTAAAGGTAGGCAACGCATATGCATCTGCGTATGTCTATGGGCAACGGTCACTTCGCTATTTCAGTGATTTCAGGTGGCCACTCGCTCATTTGCCACCTTATAATATAAAAAAAAAGTTATATTTTTTACACTGATCACTAGGATGGCAATTGCATGGAAATGACAGTTTTCTCTTCATTCCGATTTAAATATTCCCATATAAACTGTCTTTTACATCTATGTCATATTTCAGAAAGATCAATGCTGTTCGGAGATACCTTCAAAAAAACATCAGTCCATCCATCCAAACTTTCGTATTTTACTAATATTAGAAATTGTAATGTTTAGATGGACGGATGTTTGTTTGAAGTTATCTCCATACAGCTGCATGGACCTCGTAGAAGATTAACCTTTTTTTTTTTTAATTTTCTAGCGTATTTTAAAAGACAAAGAAGATTTACCAGCTGCCAGAGTACAACCGAAAGAAGGTTCTGTGTATTGGTTAGTTGATGAATCAGCGGCACAAAATCTTTAGAAATCATATCACCAATGTTTTATGCTGGATGTATAACATTGGGTGAAAACTGTTATTGTATGTAACATACAAAATATATATCATACATTTGTTGCATCAATGTTATTATTTTATACAGGATGTTTTTTTTTTGCTTAGAATATTCTTAAATTTGTTTGAATTTTCCATAATGGCGACCTTTTAAGTATGGTTTTCATACATGTTTTTCTGCATTGGGAATTTATAGTTTACAATTACAATGCCATATTGAATTAAATTGGTTTTTGTTGTCATCCCTTACAATCTCTTTGAGAAAACAGAGACAACTATATTAATGTATAGGCCGCAGATTTCTACCGTCAATGCCATACGAATCTTTGTAGATTGACATTTATTTTAGAAAATTCTGACATTGATGCACAGTTAGATTAAGATTTAACACAACAGTGGGACTATTTAGTTTGATCTGATGGTGTTTAGTTGGCTTTTATCATAATTATGTTACTAACCGTGTGTTTCTGATACCAAAATGTCAAATCATTTCTTTCATCTTTGATTTACAGAGATAATATGAGGATTTTAGTCTCAGAAACCCACGGTTTAAAATTTACCAAGTACATTATAGATATATGGGGACATATAAAAATATTTTCTTTAAGGTTTTGGAAGTTTATTTCATTTATGTATTGCTGATTACATATTAGATATAATTTGTTACAGCGTTTCCACTGTAGAGACTACACAAAAACATATTGTAATTTAAAGTGTAATAAAACATGTTTTTGTTTATGTTTCGGCAGTGGAAATTCATGAAAAGTCGATTTTGGGTTATATTTAGGTGTTAGAATTTAAATAAGGAAACGAGGGTAATTTTTTTCTTTTGTAACATTATCGAAATTTATATTACTATTTAGTATTTCAAATTAAAGGTTTGGGAATATTTTTTTTTATATTTGACTTATTTTCTTGTACTTTTTTCTTGCTTAAAGTAATTACTATTAAATAATATTTTTGTAATTTGTTATTCTGCAAAACATTATATTTATATCTCACTTTATTAAGCAGTTAATTTGTGATTGTAATAAATATTTTACATGTTATTATTGTTTTATTGAATGCTGTCCGCGACTCCGTCCATAAAAAAACTGGATGAGTAGCCTATGTGTTCTAGGCTATGTTCTACATCTATGCCAAATTGCAGCCGTTCTGAAGATACTTTCTAACATCCATCCATCCAAACATGCGCATTTATATTAGTAAGATTGTTAGAAACACGACAAGCGCTTGAAAAGCCATCAAAACGCCAGCGGGGCTAAAAGTACGCTTCGAATCGATTCCATAGCGAACTTCAAAAATGTATAGAACTGAGGCGCGACAGTCACGTGACTTATCCAAAGTTATTGTCAGTTCTATATATTTTGAAGTTCGTTATGGAATCGCTTCGAAGAGAATGCACTTTGTCTAGTCCCCCAAAAACGATATCCAGTCGTTATTTGATTGTTCGCATGTACCTAGTTAAGTACAAAACGGTAACAAATGGATTACGACGTTATTGCTTCGTAATACGGTATAAATTTTAATGGCCTTATAATTCATTAAGAATTGTGGGCCTACCAGGAATATTTGCGACAATCTTCTCGACAAACGAAGGTCATTGTCACAAGTATTCGTGCTAGGTCCGGTACACTGTTTTGAAGTAGCACTCTACGAGCAGTGTAGATTTTGTAAGAAAGCGTGTATCTACCAAATAACATTTCGATGGTGAGAATGTACTATTTGCATGAATTAGGGGATAATAAAACGGCGCATCAAATTCAATGTATATTTCCCTCGTACTTTCAAATGCCCGCGAGATCAAGACAGCATTCGTTCACATAAAAAAGACCTCGACTATTTTATAATAAGGTTACCAGTTATTATTATTATTAAGATTACCCATCTAAGTCATACTTTCATATTTTTTTCACAATAATATTAATTACAAAAAGTCTGTCAACTAAATACAAAAAACAAAAAAAACTTGAGCGCGCATAGCGCACTAAACACTTACATTCATATACATATTATATATAGAGATAAGATATACATAACTACCGTTTAATTTAATAATAATTAAAAACATAATTTGTAGAACTATCGGAGAGTGGACTTACGCAGCGGGCTGAGGGGCGGGGCCGCGCGGCCGCGGGGCGTGGCCTGTGACGTCACGCCCACCCCGCCCCACCCCACTAAACTAACACGATTTAAATCAAAACAAACATTTTATTATAGACACATGGTTTATCAACATATTTAGCCATTCGATTCGCTTTTGTATTTGCATTTTATTTTACAATATCAGTACATTAGAATTATACGTTGAGACTTCATGAAATGGATTCCCTTCCGATGATCCGACGCGCACAAATCCTAACGAAATTGTATCGACACTAATTTATTTATAATAGCATTAATATATCGACAAATTGACACCATTTCTCGATTACAGCAATCGATCCCCCTCGGACGATCAAATAATCGATCACGACGCACACCACAATCCAAATTGTTTTAAAAACGAGTGCAATAAAATTTCCATAAGGATTTGTTAAATGATTCCCGCGACAAAAAACTAACACAGGTATAAACGAACCAAGAGTTGGTCCTGCGAGCCGGACAGCGGTCATACACCGAAACCAGAGTCAATTGACTCGACGTCATAAACTGGTCCTGCCAAGCCATGAGTCAGACACGGGGGTCCCGCAGTCCTAAGGGTCAGAAGACGGGGGCTGCCAGCCACTCGTTCCTTGGTATCTCGTATCTGGGCCTTGAAAGCCAAACGATCTTTGCGAGCTGGATGCCGGTTGATAGTTAAATGATCTCCCTCCGCCGGATGTACTTTGTCTCTCTTGTGGATATGTAAAAGCTGGTGCGTGAGGGTTAAGCGGCGAACGAAACACGGGCCCCATTGGCTCGGGGGGCGGCGCTTGTGCGACGAACATACTCTGAGCACTGGAGACCAGGAGTGTGCGGGAGAGGACCCCGGTCTGCGAGCTGATGACGGTCCTCTGCACGTTCAACACCGATCTCTGCAAGAGTGCCGGTCTCGGGATGTTCGGCGGCGGCCTTGGGAAGTTCGGCGGCGGCCTTTGAATATTCGGCGGCGGCCTTTGAATATTCGGCGGCGGCCTTTGAATGTTCGGCGGCGGCCTTTGAATGTTCGGCGGCGGTCTTTGAATGTTCGGCGGCGGTCTTTGAATGTTCGGCGGCGGTCTTGGGATGTTCGGCGGCGGTCTTAGCATGTTCGGCGGCGGTCTACGCATGTTCGGCGGCGGTCTTAGCATGTTCGGCGGCGGTCTTAGGACGTTCGGCGGCGGTCTTGGGATGCTCGTCGGCGGTCTCGGCACGCTGAGTGCCGGTCTCGGGACGCTCGACGACGCTGTCGAGACGCTCGGAGGCGGTCTCGGGTCGGGGGCCGACGGTCTCAAGGCCAGCTGCTGCAGCTTGGTGGGAGAGATCATGCGCAGCTCGACGGGCGGCACGCTGAGCGCCGGCCGCGGCACGTTGCGATTGCGTATGGGGAGATCATCGTCAGAGTTATTTCCTCTCGCGGCGAGTAGTGTCAGCAGTCGCGAGTACAGTGATGTCGGCGCATTTGTGTCCAAGTTCGTGAGAGCTGCGGCTCGGGGGCCAGTGGGGGG